ACAGCTATATTTTTATGTTTCTTTGGCAAATGGAATTATATATATATATATATATATTTATATATAAATGAAAGGCGGCAATGTATGTCACTTTGCTCAACAGAAATAGGGTTGACGGATTTGATAATTGAAAAGACGGAAGGTACACTTTTAGAAATAGGGAATCACTTAAATTTAAAGGAGAGAAAAAGTCGTGGACCTTTCTGTAACGCCTTTACTTTTTTTTTTTTTTTATCCATAAAACGTTTTCCCACGTTTAGCAAACACTGTGCCGGGTTGAAGTTCTTTTCAACTTTATACATTTTAGCTCCTGTGAAGAAGCTTTTTTTTATGAAAAAAGTATCTAAACAATTCCACAATTGATATTATCTACCATTGGAAGTTAGGCATACTGTGATGCTTCTACGTAAGGAAAACGAAGAGATTCAAAAATTCGCCTACATTAATGTAATCAAACAGAAAACAAAAACTATCACCAAAATTACTTTGAAATAGCGAAAATTCTAGTTTTAATTATGGTGATATTCATCAAAATAGGAATTAATAAGATGTAAAAGTAATTCAGTGATATAAATTGTTCATAGTCGCCGTTTTTTTTCTTTTAAGGTCGTGACCTAACTGGTTAATTAACTTGTTTTACTTTAATGTTTGGTGCATATGTAGCACACACTAGCAATACATTAGTCGGTATCTAAATTCTAATCCATGGCTTTCCTTATACTCTACTTAAATGATGGTTGCCAGTTAGCTTGACGAAACATTTGAATTGTAACCACTGTTTTAACAAACCGTTTTTAACTTTAAATTTTGGTGTCTTAAAACGGTGTCTAAATGTTGTTTGATACAGATTTTGTTTATTGTACTTTAACATCGAGATTTGAGATTTGTTTTAGTTTAAGCTAATTGGAAGTCAAGTTGCACCATGCGGTAGAGTTGTAAACGATTAAAGTTTACTTGTCATGTTACAGACGTGACAGTATTACGTACTTACAAACATAAATTTGTGAGCCTGGCCTAGTTTTATGACAAGAACCAAATAACATTGAACGCCAGAAGGTATGGATCCCCGGATTCACCATATGTGGAAATCATGCGCTAGTTTGAGTGAGTATCGAATGAATAATGTCAACGACTTGAGATTCTTGTGGCGTACGTTGGCTTCAACACTAAACGGTTAACCTCAGTTTTAGGATCGTGAATAAGAGAAATGAATGTAAACAATTATACCAAGTACATATACGTGTTGACGACTTGTCATGCCTGAAAGGCCTACCCTCGTTTATGTCGTGCGATGAAAACGTTTGGTTATTTCCTGCTTGAGCACGGGTTTTAGTGATAAATTGCTTTGGTACTTTGAACAGTCAAGGTAGATGTTATATCGTATTCAAACAAACCACTAGAATGTAAAGGGATTGTGCTGATTTATGTAATAACAATACTTAGCCGTGTGTTCAATATTTAACATTCTTACAAAATACCGTGTCTGTTCTTGTAAGACCAAAATATGAAATCTGCTTAAATTGGAATACTAAAAAATATTACGAAGAGAGTAAGTGTGAAATAAAAAAAAAGCTAGATTGTACTTTTAGTAGTGAAATGGACACTTCTCCTTCTAATCAACAGTTCTAGAATTTGTATAATTGTCTCAAAAACTGGGTACAGATTGCAGTATAAGTTATAAAAAAAAACATCTTACAAAAAGTGGTGGCAGATATTTTAGACCATGCAAATGGCATAATAATTCCTTTATACATCTATATTACTATTATTGCAGTTACACAGTATGCCTTGAAGAGTACAGTTATTCTTAAAACAATATAGCGTATAGTAGCTAATTCTTTCTGAGAGAAGTGTAATGTTCAACAGTGTTATAACTAAATGTTAGCTTTAGTTGTAATGTTATCAAATTCAATGTCATTAACAAGAAGTCTAGCAGTGGCATTAAGACATACAACTAACCTTCTACTCTTTCATTAAATGATGAACCCTTTGTATATGATTTTTGTTTCTCACTTTGAACAAACAAAATTAGTTGGTAATGATTTTATGTGTGTACTATGGAAAGAAGTAAATATTTGCCACCACTACTTAATATATCTATTTTCTTTGCAAACATTGGTTTATTTTTATCTTTAATTTGTTTTTTTAGTTTTTTCACTCTCATTATTCACATTGTTTAGAGATGAAGTGAGGTCATTACACATTGTCACAGACTGATAATGTTACAAATTAATATGCCATTTGGTGAGAGAAGAATATTCACTGTTGAATCTAAGTTTCAGATGGACAGCAACTGCCTGTTGTAGAAACCTACAAATGTAGAGGATGACATTTCGAAAGGTAGGTTTCTACAACAGGCAGTTGCTGTCCATCTGAAACTTAGATTCATTATGAATACTCTGCCTAAACAACCCATCAAAAATATTCACTGTTATTATATGTAGTATGTGTGGTATCAAATATATTTTGTTAGGTCAGTTTTTATTATATACTGTTTATAGCTTTTATTATGTAAACATTTCGTGTATTATTTTAGAGGCATTGATTCATATTGAAATAAGCTGTGGTGGTTGCTTTGCTAACTTTGTTGAGAAAGAATAACAGAGAGAGAGACATTGAAGATTAAATATACTTTTAATATATTATTATAGAAATTTTCCTTCATACTTATGTATGAATTTATCAAATTTTATTCAGAGTAGACATTATTTATGAGTGAAAACATATGCAGAAAGCAGGCTATAACTCAATCAAATGCATTTCATTTTTCAGAAAGATGAATCAATCTTTCTAAGGGGAGTTCCTTTGAATAAATTCCAGTTGTTAACCAACAAGTAGAAACTATGAACAGCTTAACTCATCTTACAATGCTTGAATATTTGCTGTAGTTTTTTTCTCATTAATTAAAATGTAAAGAAGACTCATAGTTAAAAGCATTTGTTATTTAGTATTTATTCACTAACAAAATACCAAACTTTTAGTGAATCACTTTTAGTTTGTGTGTGTGCATTTAGTTGGGATACTATCATAAAAGATTGTTGAGTTTGTATTAATAATGATTATAGACTTCTGATTTAGAGGCTAGTTGTAAAAGATTTAGAAGATTACATCATGAATTACTTTTATAAGTTTGTATTTCAGGATTTGAAGAGTTTTATTACTGTATTACAAATATGAATTTTTTATGGTGTTTTTATTTCATAAAAATATCTTTGGAATATAACTCTTAAGGAAATGTATTGTGTTTTGTTCATTAATTTATCACAATTATTTTTCAATTCCTTTTTGTATGTTCTAAAGTGAGTTTTGTTGTGTCATATATATATGATATTAAAATTTAGTACACAATTCTTTGTTAATTATAACTTTACAATTTGTTAATTTCCATTTGTTGATTATTATCAGTGTTTAATCCTGAAGTGAATAATTGTGGGTGGATTTCCTTAGTGTCTGCTTATAGCAAACTGTTTGAAGGTTTCTTTAGATGGTCAGTATGTTTCATCTTTCATGAAGTTAATGTTATCACCATCTCTCACAATTAGAAAAAAACAAGAAAATATTAGAGATAATACAAAGTTTAACCAGTAAACAAGCATGCAAGTATTTAAAAATCAAATATTAAAAATTTACTACCCTACATTATCTTCAGTTACATTATATTTATTATATTTGAATTTTATAGTTAAAAATGCAATGTAGTATTTTCTGAGAAAGTTTCCAAAAAATTAGTTTTTTTTTGTTGCTTTTTGAGAATCAAAGTTTACTTTTTTATATGAAGGGGAGTATCTACCTTAGTAATGCATGTAAATGTTATGAGATTATCAGTATAATGTATCCTGTAAAGGTTTCTTTTATCTAAAGCCCCTGAACTAACATATAAGATACGTTACACGTGTCTTTATCTACCACACCAGCATTTTCCAAATTGTCGGTTGCATAACAAGACACAGTAAGATCTTAAAGTTTTTTAATTTTAAAATTGTTTGTACAAGTACTGCTAGACTTTACTGAAATGTGTTAAATCATAGGGCCTATAAGATTGTCTGACTACTCAAGTCGGTTGTGAGTCAGGAAAGAAGTTATAAACATATGTTTCTGTTGATTACTTGTGTATATAAGTTGTTGAAATATATTTTAATAGTTTTAGTCTATGCATGTAAATGTATTATTATGTGACTCATTGTTTTCTTTTTCCCTTGTGTATTTCTTGTTGAATTAAAACATTATGGTAATTTTAGATTGTTATCATGTAAATTTTAGTTTTTTAAAGAAGGTATGCTGTATTGACTCATATATATATGTACAAGTATATACTGAATTTTAATATCAAGGACATTAAAACAGGTTTCATTATAGGATGAGTATGTTATTTGAACTAAGTTATAATGATCTGACTTATATTTTTAGAAAAATTTACTGCATTTTATTAGATAATTTTATTTTTTTCTTGGGAAATTTGGGTGTTTAAAACGTTTTTTATCAAAACCAATTCAGACACTTGATCCTCTTCTATCTTTTGTTATCAGTCCTGATTACTTTCTTTTAAAAACCACCCAGTGGAGAAATAGTTTTTTCAAACATCTACTTTTAAAAAAAGTTCCAAAAATGATGTTTTAACTACCCACCCAGTTTCTGACAGCTGTATTCTGTTTCACACCAAAAAATTGTACATCTGTATTTATTTCCAGGAATTTCCAATGTAAAATTATTACTAAAGTCAGATGCTAGTTTGCACAGATTCTTAGAATTAGTTCCATTTTCAAGATGATTCACTTTAGTTCAAGTAATACATGTAATATTATGTTGTGCATAATATGGATAAATTTGTATCAGTACTTCTGTCTACATATGTGTCATATTTATCAAAATCTTACAGATGTATTTACATTTAAAAAGGAGAGAAGTTTAGTTTCTGTTTGTTTCATGACACTAGCTTGGATATGAATATATGTATCTTACATTATATTAAATTTCTTACTGCATTATTCTTCTATATCTAGGCAGAAGCCAGACTAGCAGCTCGAAGGCAAGCTCGTGCAGAGGCCAGAGAAATCCGAATGCGAGAGTTACAAAAACAACAACAGGAGGTAACATTCTTTTTCTTAGCATAATAAAGTTTAGTTATTTCCTTGTAAAAGATCTGGTTTTGACTTTTATGTTATATATATAAAGGGGTAATAACTTGGTAATCTGTTATTGGACTTTATTGATTTCTTGCCAAGAAAAGTGCACAACAGCACCAATTTGGGGCTGAAAAGATCAAAAACAGTTAAGCTTGCACATCAGCTGAAATATGAAGTGGCACTTAAATATTATATATGAAATGAGTGGACTGTTTAATACATATAAATCATAATAATTAGTGTTGCTATTTTTAAGAAAAACATTGAAGTGATATGTGCATATGTGAACCAAGCACTTAGCTGTGAAATATACAAAATTTGGTTTCAACACAAAATGTTTGTAACCAGAAAACATTTATTATAAAAATACTTTTGGTGTTAGAATTATCTTTTTGTCTTACTACTTTGTTTCAGAACAAAGTTATCTCTTACAAGATTCATTAAAAAGCAATACTACTGTGAATATGAACATTATAAAAGTTCAGATCAAAACCATCATTTTGTAGAAATTGATAATATTACAATTTTTTTTATTTCAGGCAGATCAACAAAGTGATAAATATTATGATTTGCCCAGTGATCCTGTACGAGGGAGGCCTGGCCGAGAGGTGTGTACAGCTAATTAGTAGTTTAGTTTGGTAAACAATTATGTTATTACTTTTTCTGATACAATTACCTCTTCTCACAGTTACAGCTACTCTCGATTTGACTGCCCTCTGGAGCACAAATTTTTGTTCTCCATTAGCCTTGAAACTACCACCTAATTCCACATGTATACCATGTGATTCAGCTGTGTTTAAGCATGCAGTAGTCCTCCATCAGTAAGAGTGCGACGGGTTCAAATGCATAGAAGGGCTTAATCTTCACTTCTTGATGTGACACAATAGTGTTAAGACCTGATGCTTGATTTCAACCATTTTTTTCTTCTTTAGTGCATTTTGAAAATATTCAATTTCAGATTTTTCCATTTCAAAGTATTGTTTATAATCCACTATTGAGTTGGATTTCTTTATTTGATTGTGAATTCTGTTTCTCACTCAATTACCGGTAGTCAATCAATATTTATCAGCCTTCTCCTGCTAGTCTGTGAGCCATGGAGTTTTTAGTTCAAAGGGTGCTATCAGCGCCTTCTCTCCTTGCAAGAGAGGTTCAGTCTCTTTTGGGAACTTGGGTATCACTGGAGACTCTTATCCCTCTGGGCCATGCGTTCCTTGCAGTGGGTACTACAAGATCAATGGCACCTCATCAGGGATCCTCTGGATTTACAGATATCCCTTCCTGCTTCCCTTCAGCCTGACTCCTTCTGGTGGTTAGACAGGGACAACATGACAGTGGGAGTGTCTATTCCTCCTCCTTGTCCTAATATCCACATCTTCACAGATGCCTCATTGTCAAGATGGGTTGTGTGCTGCAATACATAGGAGATGTCAGGCCATTAATTAGTCTTGGGAGGAGTTAGGTCTTCATATCAACCTTTTGAAACTCCTTGCTGTTTGTTGGGTGATGGTTCAATTTCTATCATTTCTGTGGAGCATGACAGTTGTAATTCATTCTGAAAACTCGATGGTTGTCACTTACATCACCTGAAAAAGGGGCACTTGATCACAGTCCTTATGTTCCCACACTCTAGAGCTCCTCTTCTGGGCTCACAGTCATCAAACTCGTTTGCTGCTTCGTCACATATCAGGTGCCCTGAATCTTATCACGGTTTGTATGTCCTGTCAAGATTCTATCCACAGAATGGTCCCTTGATCTCAAGATATTCCAATGGATATGTTCTAAGTTCGATACTCCCCAGCTGTGTGCATTTGCCACTCAGTTGAATGCCAGACTTACTCTTTTGGTCCCCAGTTCTACATCCTTTAGTTGTGGTTGCATTCAGCCTTTATACATTTTCCTTTATACATACCCCATCTTTCTTTTACCCATGTAATTTCTCTCTTCTGTTTCACTCTGTGTCGAGTCATTCTTGTGGCTCCTTTCTGACAAGCTTAATCATGGTTTCTGTCCCTTCTCCAGGAACTACCTCTCCCAGTCCCTCTTCAAACAACCTTACTCAAGGGTGCTTCATCCCTCTGTTTCCACACTCTGACTTCATGCATGACTTTTGTCTGGTCCCTTGCAAGGGGTTCGAGACTATCCACAAGGGTAGCTTTTCTGTAATCTCACTCTGTACATTTCTCATCCATGTCTGTGTATCAGTGTAAGTGGTTCAATCTTTGGTCTATCTGGCATGAATTCTAGCCTTCCCTTCATCAGATATTTGATTTTTTACATGGTTGTTTGACATGGGTCTGTCTGTTTCAACCATTGCTGGCTTTAGGGCAGCCCTGTCATCTACGTTTTGTTTTCCTTGTTTTTATCATGTGTTTTCCTCTCCATTTATTTCCCATTTATTTTGGTTCATACATCTCCATTGTCCTCCTCATTACATTCGATTTCCAGACTAGAATTTGAAAGTTGTTTTCCATGCCCTTTCCCTTCTTCCCTACGAAATGTTTTCCTCATGTTCCTTATATCACCTTTCCTCGAAGACATATTTTCTTCTTCTTCTTTAGCTTGTGGACTTGTCGGTTGGACTTGTTCACCATCAAGTTCACTGCATTTTGTACTGCACAACCTGTGTCCTTTTATATTCTCACAGTTACCTTCTTCCCAAAACATCAGCTGCCTGCGAAGGCAATTTTGCCTTCATTCCTACTTTTCTTCTTTCCATATCCCATATTTACTTCTGTTTTGATCCAAATTGTTTCCTGTGTCTGGCTCATGCTTTAAGGTGTTACATATTGTGAACAGCACCCTTCATGGCTCTCACTCCCTTTTTTTCTGAATCTTACCAATTGTTCTGTGTTTCATGCCATCAGTTCCATCACTTTCCAATGTCCTTGGCTTTTCCTTTCTGTCGTCCTTTGGAGGAGATTATCCGGGCTTGTACGCAGACCACTCCCCACACCTTTGCGTCGTGCTTCATGCACCATCTGGCAGTTTTCTGATCAGTTGGATATTGTCTTCCCCATGTAGCTGTTCACCATACATTGGTACATCTCTAAGTGGGTAATTTTTTATTTTTCAGGGGCCTACTTTACATGTTATGGATCCTGCTCTATGGAAAGTGGTGCCTGTCCAGGTATACTGATATCCATAATCTGCACCATGAGATCTATAAGGTCTATCATACTTGCTGTTGAAATGGGATATTTTTTCTCACGGTACATTGTGTCATAAATATGTTCGTACCAGACCGTACACTCATGGACTAACATGAGTAAAGCAGAAAGAGATTGCTGCCCATCTCTAATGTTCCTTCGATCGCCAGAATTGGTAATAGTCGGCTTTTAAAAATAGGGTTTCGTGGTCACCCATTGCATTTTCTCTGGTGATGCATTCCTCTTCACTCTCCAGTGGAGTGTGGGAGTCTTTACCACTACCCATCTCCTAGCTGCTGGAGAAATCTTCCTGAGTGTGCACAATTCTACTCAGTCAAGAGTAGGGTGGTTGTATTCTGCCTGTGTAGAATGCTTGACTATCCTCCTGCCATGTGTCTGATGTTTTATTCCAAATATTGCTGGTCTGGACTGGATTTTTCCATCTATTTTGCACTTTGCCCCTCTGGTAGGAACCCTCTTCCCTACTGCCACCTGGATGTCGGTTTCTGGGTGACTGGTTTTGGTTGGAGCTGGACCAGCCACCATAAATTCTCTTATGTGAGTGGGCTGGGAACTTCCTCCTACTGCAGACCAGATGTTACATCCCCAATGCTGATTGGTTTTGGACTGGAATTGACCCTCCACATTGCATTTCCAACTTCCTTATGTCATCTAGATGTACATTCCTAGGGTTTCTTGCTGCATGTTGTGCTGGATTTGCACACATGATGGTTTAGGTTCTCGTAACATAGGCTCCTCTTTCCTTCTGATTCCTAAACCTGAAGTGAATGATTGAGGACCCTCCTCCTACCATGGACCAATCAAGTTCCTCCTAGTTCCACTGGTCGGAACTGAAGTTGACTTCCTGACACTCTACACACCTTCCTCTTCCTTGGGGATTTGGAATTGCTACCTTGTTCCACCCTTTCATTGTGACACCACACCTGTTGTTTCCACAGGGGCACAGAGTATAATTGGTTCAGATGTGGTGTGGTCTCCCATGAATGTGTTTTCTCTCTATGGATAATCTTCAGATGCTTTTGAAGGGTGCTCATCTGGGTAATGTTACACCTGTCCCTCCACCTGCTCAATGTGGGATTCTGGCTGTAACTCTGAGAAGAGGTAAGTAATCATATCAGAAGTTAATATTTTTCTACAGTGAAAATAAAATTCTAATAGATACTTATTTCTCTCACACTTCTCACTCATCCTCCCCTCTTCTGCTGTCATTTTTCATGCCTAATCTCAAAGTGAAGATTGGGTTAAACTGCATAGAGGAATTCAGCTATTGTTGAGGGTTGTCACATGCTAATTTGCATGCTTAAAGACAGCTGAACCACATGGAATTAGGTGGGAGGTTCAAGGCTAATGGCGAGTGAACATTTGTGCACCAGAGGGTAGTCAAATCAAGAATAGTTGTAACTGTGAGTGGAAGTAAGTATCTATTGGAAATATATTTTCTGTGTAGGTAAACATTAACTTTTGTATGTAGTTCATGAAGAAACTATAAACAACGTAGTTATTTGTTTCAAGTTTTTATATGAAAGGTATTACGTATTACTTTAATGATACAACATTGTATTTAGTTCAAGATTGTCTCCTTAAGCTTAGTTCTTATTCCAGCATAAATATTCTTTTGAAGTTGCAAGAAATTTTACATCTCAAATATACATATGCAGTTATTGCTAAAGGTATAAATTGTTCATAATAAGATACTGAAATAAGTAAGCTCAACATTTCACATATTTTTGATGCATTATGTTTTTATCCATGTGTTCCTAACCTAAAAAGTTAGGACAGTTGTGAAATATACAGTTTCAAGAAATTTCATAAAACTTATCTGTAACCTTTTAGTTTTACCCAACTTGTAAGATGATTCACAAATACATGTGGTAATATATTATGCATAATATAGATAAACTTTGCATTTCATGTAATCTCTTAACCCTTTTGAAACGGGTTGCAGGTGAAAGGCCATGTCATCCCGTTTGTTGACTCACATTCAAAATTTTATTGAACTACTATTTCATGAATTTATGTAATTAAGTTTGGTACAAAACTGTAGAATATAATTCAAATTTTAGTACCATATATTACTCAGTTTTTTAATTTAAAAGCAAATATTTAAAAAACACAGATAAACATAGATTTTTGTGTGTCAGGGTATATGTTGAATGCAGCACTGGTTTAAATTAGATGTTTGTGAAGTCAAAATACTAAGTGAATAGTTTTGAATGAACTAGAAACTTAAATTAACGATATTGACAAGCTAGAATATGAAATAAGAGTATTTTCAATTTGCTTAGATATTGCTCATATAATAAATCAAACACAGTGTCACCTTGCCTACCTATTTCCATTTTTGGAAACACTCCTTTATATACACTTACTTCTATATATGACATGAATAACCAATCAGTAGCTCAGAACAGCCATTTTAACGGACTTGGCACCATTTCTTTCTTTCCAACCAATATTTCTTCTCAAAATTTCATATTTTTTTTGACTAAAATACATCTTAGTTACTAAGCTTGATAAATTATAGTGGAATTCTATGGTATTAATGTAGTAATTTATGATTTTTTAGTTATTCAAATGTATATATAGAACTAAAAAAGATGTTTTGTTTATATCCTCCACGTGCAATTTTTAAAGACTTAGCAACCTACGTCAAATAGCAACCGAGTACGAAGGTTGTTAACTGGAAGAGAAAATTGTTTGCTTTAGTTCTTTAGTTAGTTCTATGTTTTTAGAAAAATAAGTTTAAGAACTTATTTCCAAATAGCAATAATCTATATAGATATATAATGTATAATAATTGAAATTTGACTATTTTACAAAATACTAGTCTACTAGAACACAGTCAAGACAAGTTACTTTGCACAGACTAAAGGTCAGTTTT